AATTTGACTGTTTTTTAAATTTTTCTCAATTCAATGGATTTGAATGGACCAATCCCACCCATCTGCTACTTAAAGCAAGTTAAACTATACTTTGGACTATTTGCAAATGAAATAAATATACATGACCTTTCTCATGTGTTTGTGTAGAATTTTGTTTGAATAAAATAACAATTCCATATATTGCAGCTCTCTTAAGATATCTGTGTTTGAACACAGTTCGAAATCAGAGGCTGAAATATATGTTGTTGCCAAATGAGTGGAATGCAGTGTGAACCTCCAGAATGTGAATGAGGTTTGACCTTGGTTTTGTGACTCGGTGGATGTTTGTTTGCCTGTCCTGTTTGTGGTGCTCGTGTCTGTGTTTCTGTGGCCATGCGTTGTTTTTTTTTAGCACATCAGAGATGTGTGTGTCGTGGGGCGCCGCGCCGGTGGGAGGCTGCTCAGCGTGTCTTCCTGTTCCTCACAGTTCCTCTGCAACAAGCCACGTCCACAATCACAGAGGGGAGGAGTCAACACATTCGAGCCCCGCCCACTCAGAGCCTGTGGTTCACTCGCCTCGACGAAGTGAGTTGGAAAATTGCAATATCAAAGTGAAAACTGATTTTTATAAAATAATGACATCTAAGTCTTTGTATGAATATCACATTCTTTAAAGTGAAAGACATAATTCAACAAAGTTGCATTTACCAAGGTGGGGAATATATATGCAATCACTTATTTTATGTTTCATATTTTTACTTTATGTTTGTAGAAATCAGTTTTAAATTTTTTGTCAAAAAAGCCAAATTTTGCTGATCATAATTGATTTGTAGAACCAATAAGAAGGGTTTAAAAATCCAATGTGGTTGGTGATTTTTTCATAGGCACTCTAATAGCTTAACAACATTCTGAGCAAGAATATCTTCATAATCTTCTCTAAGATGTCTGTCTTTTGTACTGTTGTGAAATCTTATTACAAGCACTTCAGTGAAAAAAGAAAAGTGCTCAACATTTCTGTCAAGTTCTTCTCTGATCTTTGATGTTATAAATTTAGTATTTTTAAATACTTTCTGTACAATGTTTCTGGCTTAAAAGTGCAGCAGTCTGGGTTTCCTCTTTTCAGGTTGGCCTGCTCCTGCTCACTCTGTGGCGATTTGCGAAGGCCTGGAGGACTGGGGTGCAACAGACCTCTCTGCCTTATCCGACTCGGATGAGGAGGATCAGCCCTCCCCACTGGTAAACGTTTCTAAAGGGCTGGAAACAAACAAATTATATGTTGTTATCTGGATAAAATGCCATATGATTTAACCATCTACATACAGAAAACAACAAAACCCGTCCTCCCTTTGGTGTTGGAATAAATCTAATCTAGTCTAATCTAGAGGTTTACCTTCTTATGTTCAGGTGGCGGGCAGGTACAGGGTCATGGTAGAAAGCAGCATGGCCAGCTCTGATGACATCATCTTTAACTGCGGCGATGTCATCCAGCTGCTTTATGAGGATTCGTCAGGACTGTGGTAACATGCCGATCAGAACAAAATTCAAATTATAATGCATTCATGGATATATAGTCCAAAAAAAAAATCTAAAATGTTTGTTGTGCTCTGATGTGTCGTTTGTAATTTTAGGATGGTGAAGAATATCAGTCGCGGTGAAGAAGGTCGAGTTCAGCCTGAGGACTTGCACAGGATTCTGGGAGAGAGCTGCTGAGAGCCAATCAAAAGCCAGAAAACTCACATCATTCATTCATTTCCTAAACAAATGCAGGCATCTGATTCAGTCAAGTCAGACTGAAACACTCCATCAGCTGCTTATTCGACTTTAAAGAGCTGTGACTTCAGGACGGACCTCAGAGGAATGTAAAAATCGAAAGCACATACAAGCCATTTTTATTTACCTGCTCTAGCATTAAAGCAGAAGAATGTTTGGACTGGACTGGTTTGGTGGGTCCTCCGCATACTTCCTATGTGAACTTTTATTTTGGATGTTGTATAAATAATATTTTCTTATGACATATTTAAAAAATCAAAGCAGATAATTATGTACATATCATCTATTGTGCCAAACAGCAAAGCTAATCACTCCAGCTTCTTTTTGTGACATGTTTTTGAGTGAAACCTGCTTTCTTCTACTATAAAAAAACACATCCTGTATGGAATGTGTTCTTTTGATGTGCAAAGAAGTTGGCACATTAGCTCTGCCCCTGAATTTGGCCATAGATGTTATCTGAGAAGCTCTATGACTTCTTTGTCCAGTCACAAAACATACAATGCAAGATTGTGGGGGTGCAGCTGTGGTAGATCTCCCATGTTGCTGGTCCCAAATCAAACTCACCACCTCATCACATCCACACCAGCAGTCTGTCCTGCCGCTGCTCTGACTTTATCTAGATGACTAGGCTTGCTCCGTAGCAATAAATAACAACATCATTGAACAAAGTGATCAGAATGCTTTAGGTTCTCTGTGGAATATGAAGTGCTGATACCTCAAAATGTTTTCAGGAAAGTGAAAGGAAGGAGTAGGGTAAGGCTGAGGTGCAAGCAGCTTGTATGTTTGGTTCATATCACTCATTTTTAATTGTAAAAGAGCAACTTATAAAGAAGAACTTTAGAGTTTATAACCTCAGTTTGCATTTTGTGATTACGATTTCTTCTGGTTGTACATGTCTAGATATGCATACAGATCATTGCCAGGAAAGGTAGTCATGCAGTAATATCAGTTTTGATGTCAACCTGAGAGGAGTTTTGTAAATTTATTGTAACAGAATCTCTTGTCAATCAAGGTAAGCTAAAAAAAAAAGGCAGTGATAGTCTTCCAGCTACATTTACCTGGGACAAGAAATAAGAAGTTGTCTTAATTTCTTTCAGGCATCATTATACTTTCCCACTTCTTGTTGACATTTTGTTGCATGTAAAAAATTGCATCTTCACCCCTCAGTGGTTTACAGTGACAGGCAATGAGTTGTGTTTCTGCAGATTAGACTTTTACATATTCAAGATAATCTGACAAAAGTTTGGCAGAGTGAAGCCACAAGATAATTTATCGGAGTCAGTTCATACAGGTGCACATTAATATTAATCTTGCTAATATCCTTTTACAATCTGCATCTATGTTTTTATTTAATATAATTTATTCTGATATTAAAAATATCAAATAAAATGATGACTTTCTGAATGCAATCATGCATGCTAACCATGAAGACAATTTGCAGACGTTTTATTGTAATTCATGGTCAGATACATAGATGCATTCTGAGGAAAAGATTGATTTATTTACAGTAAAACTTATAAGGGCATGATGATGGGCAAGTTTAACATAATTCAGTTTTTTTTTGTAATCTGTGATATGCATTCTGTCAATCAGGAACCATTCTGTGAAAGAAAAACGTTATTCACAACATTTCTGCTATTATACAATGTGGAAAAATACAAGAGGGAAGTAAACCTAATGCCACAATACTGGCCAGTAATCTAGAACTGGAAAAGAATACAAGAAAATAGACTTCTGTTCAAAATTAATGCAACTCCCATCTATTTTTATTTGTCCTCCATCCGTTCTCTTTATTCTCCTCAAAATTCATTTTCAATCTTTACTATTTGATTTCTGCTTATTAATGTATTTTGAGTAATTACAAATATATTTGTTCCTGGCTTGGGCTTTCCTGCTAAAACATGTGTAACCTATTCATGAAATGTTTTTGTCTCCTCACATTCATCTGTCGAGCACAGTGTTTTACCGATTTCCTTGTGGCTCTGTGGACGAATACCTCTCTATTGATTTGCAATTACTTTTAGCTTTATTTTTGCCTCCTCTGCTGTTTTACACACATAGAACTGGTTAGTGTCAGCTATAATTGTAAAAATGAAAAAAAAGGCAACCAAAGATTAATGGGAGTTGAAATGATGAAGAAACAGACAGACGGTTCGCTGCCTCTGTAAAAATGCCTGGACTGACTTTTCCATATTGTCACGGATCTTGCCTAACTAATGGTTTTTCACAGAGTAAGTGTAACAAGTGGGCACTATATCACTGCCACTTATAATAACATGACACTTTTTGAGACAGCTAAATTCAAATGTGAATATGTAAATACAAAGATTATTATTAGTTTAGTATCTAAAATGTATCTAAATAGATAACTTAGGCAGTCAAAAACTATCAACTGACTTAAACAGATAGGCTAAAAATACACAATATTAGTAATATACTACAAAAAAATTGGTCCTACCCTTCCAGTAGGACCAAATTCAAGATTAACTTTACCAGTGAAACTAGATTTAATCTCACTGTCTTTAACACCTACAGTTGGACTGGAGCTTCTTCTCCATGAGATTTTTCAAACCCACTCAGAAACGGTTTTGTTCTGACAGGCTTCTTGAACTTGAACTTGTTTGCTGCATTTGCTCACTTTGCACTTTTTTTCTATCCTTTGAAACATTGAACTGTGTTGTATAGTAATGCATTATGCCTGTAATTGTTTTCCAAAATGTAAGCACATGGTTGTTTCATTTGATTCCGTCTGATTGAGGGGTTTATTTCAACTCCTCTTCTAATGTTATGGATCTTTGCAGAAAAATTGAACTTCATAAAATTGCACAAAGATGTTTTAATTTCTTATCGCCTAATAAAATATAATCTCAGTGTTCTTTTGCCGTGCTCTTACCTAGATTGAGTCTGTTGCTTATGATGAATGTTTAATTCCTTTATTGAGATGTACTGGTTTGTTGTCAGAGCTGCCAGGTCTGGGGCCACAATGTGCCTGATGAATCAACCACAGCTACAGTTTTAAAAAAGATTATTTATGTCACGCTTAGTGGGATCAGTGTCCTCCTGGTGAGCCTCAAGCCAATGCCTCATCGAAGAAATGTTGAGAACATCTGATGTGCTGCTTTTTGATAAAAAGGGAAGTTGTGAAACAAAGAAAAACAAATATAACCAGTTATAAATATACGTTTTAGAACAAAAATCACAGTAGAGTTGAATCTATTCAAATGCTACAAAAAAAATTCTCGAAACACGGCAAAACTTTGCATGCACATTTATTGCAGATTCATGGAAGAGTTTTAGTTCCTAATCTAGTAGTGGAAATGTTGAGAAAAATACCAAGAAGGATGTTTCATTCTTCCACCACAGCTTGTTGTAAAGTATGATTCTACAAAACTCAGTTTTTCACAAGCAACACATTTTAATTATTATAATGTATTTATGTAAAATTAAAACATGTTTGATGTTAAAGTGGAAGTCCTCTACAGACTAGCTAATCTGTTTTTGTCCAAATAGAGGAACGAAGAGTTTTACCTTTAGGCAAGATATCAACTTGAAACTGTCTAAAGAAATCCTGAATTTGCTGAACTACATATTTTAGTTGGACTGTAAGATCCCGGTTGTCTGAACAATCCAGGAGTAGTATCGTGAAACACGGGTGTAGATGCCGTATTTTCCTTTCTCTGCACAACCCTCCCCCCAGCTGACGATGCCGGTGAGAAACCAGGTTCCTTTGTAGTTGGTGGCATGCGGGCCACCGCTGTCTCCCTGGCACGAATCGCTCAATCCATCTGCCAGGCCGGCACAGAACATGAACCTGGTGATGTGGCTCCGGCTACTCTGTTTGCACAAGGTCCGGTCGGCAAGAGGAACCGATAACTTCTGAAGCTTGTCAGCTTCAAGACCACCGTCCCTTGTCCGTCCCCAGCCACTCACCAAAGAGCTGCTGGAGTCTTTCAGGAGGTCCTGTATGAAGGCTTTTGGGCCCACGCATATGGGACGTCTTTCATTGGACAGTTCCACAGGAGTGGCGAGCTTCAGCAGGGCGATATCGTGATTAAACTGTGATTCATGAGTGTTGTAGTGGGGGTGGATGTGTTCCTCGGCCACTTCATGGTTGCTCTCTGAAGCCTCGACCACATTCACATCATGTTCACCTGGAAATGTTGATGGCATGAGAGCTTGACATTGTATGAAACAATAAACTATTGAAAACTACTTGTGATTAGCTTTCAATCATATACAGAAAATTCATTGTAACCACGTGAAAAATGAGGAGCTGCAAAATATATTTTGTAAACCCCATTTTGTGTTTATTTCATCTCCCGGTTGTAATTCTTGTTTTTCTCAGACTGGGATGCTGCTGTGATAGAGAGGCTTAAAAGTACCGGAAACTTGATTTTAACCGATAAAACAGAAGTGAATGACATTTTAGAGCCCAGGCTGGTTGGAGAAGATGACTTTATGGCCACAAGAGTAAAAAAATGCAGATTTTCAGTAATTAATGTCTAAACTGTATTATTTTCCATGTCCTTTTTTAGAGGTGCCACAATGCCGTGTCGTAAACTATTTTATTTCAGTTTTCTGTGTTCATTTTGTTGAAGTTGTTGCTAGTTAGGAGGGTCATCCAAGTGTCATATGGACCATTCACCTGAAGAGGACTAATTATTTTTTTTTTGCAACATAGAAAATTGTTCTTTTTGAAAATAAAGAATCTCTTTTATTTGAAGGTCTGTGTGCTCTTTAATCCCAGTTCATCAGTTTTAAAGTGTACAGTTAGATATACTTTTGTTTTGTCTTACCAAGTCTTACGAAGATAGCGTATTGTTTTTCTCTGGCCACCTCCACGCAGTGGGCTGCAGTGATTACCCAAAATTCACTGAGCAGAGAGCCTCCACAGATGGGTAGAGTTTTGTTTCGCTTGGGTAAAAAAGCCATCAGGGCCACCTGCAAACACACATAGCAACTTTAGTCATCGGTTCAGTAAACATATGAATCTCACCACAGTCTTGTGATTGTTTTTAATGCAGCAAGAACTATTTCCAGGTCTAAAACAATAAAGTATGTCTCATATTTGACAAAAAAACATGTTTATAATCTCAAGACTTTGGGAAAGGTGCAGATCAAATTACATCTGGTACAGTTGTTGTGACAGTGGGTTGGTTTTAATCCAATGTAAAGAGAAATACAATAGCTTTGATTCCATGCAAAGCAAAATAAGTTATCCATAAAAAAATAATCATTCTCTTTATGCACTCAGTAACATTACCTGCCAAGGTATCTCGCCAGGTGTGGCCTCATTTCCTCCAACAATCCTCTCGTCCACATTCTTTTGTGCGATGACGGTGGGGAGCACAGGTAAATCCCAGGAACGCTTTTGTCTGGGACTTTTGCTCTGATCTCGCTCTGCTCTGGAGTTGAGAGTCTCAGCTTGGTTTAAGGAGGAACTTGAATCCAACCCAACTGAGCTGACATTTAATAGAGAATCTGCTGAGTTGTTGAACAGCTTTGATTCGTTCATTTGAAAGTTGAGGTAATCCTCGATTTCTTCAGCGTAATCATAGTCATAATCCTGTCTGGTGGAGTTAGTTGAGTTGGAGGATTGTGTCCACCTGAAAGATCTGGCAACCAGGCCAGAGGACAGGCTGACGATACCACAACTGAACGGCTCTGAGGGGAAAATAAGGCAAAATAGTTAGTTTTATCACTTAAAGATAATCTGTAAACTTATCAGCTTCTGTTTAATTCAGTATTTTTTCTTGGAATTGGGGTTGTGAGATCTGCTGTCCTTTTTTCTATGTCAGTAGTGTAATGAGCTGATAATTATTGTCTGCTCACTACTTGGCTCTAAGCATCTTCAGCTGTCAGCCTCAGTCAGTAGCAATGTCTTTTATTTGACAGCTGTGAACTGAAACGTCAGCTTGTTATGCCTTAAAGGATGGAGGATGTCAAACACGATGGGTCCAGCTTTCTGTCTTTGTACTTTATAACAGCTAGCTATCAACATTTCCAAATGAGAAGCTCAAACATTTTCAGTTTGATTAAAAAAAGACTTATCGTTGCAGATACACATTGAATTTATGGGAAGTTTCTTTCCAGTTTGATGAAAACCGCACTAATTTGAACTAATTTGAAAGGTTCAAATTGGTTGAATTTATCTGTTGATTTTTGTGCTTTTATAGTTTTAGAACTTTAGTATTTTTGGTAATTTGGACTGCGTAATACATTCTTTGCAGAAATTTTTTAACATATTATCAACTATGACATCTTTATTGTAATATCTAATATGGATGGAGGCATTAATACAGGTAAATTAAATTAATCTTCAACTTAAAATCTTTTATTATTATTAATTTCTTTTTAAAAATAAAATGCAATTATTAATCCAGACAATAATCCTGTGATTTTTTTTACAGCATACAGTCAGTTTTCATTTCAAAACTGTAATTTTTAAAAACCAGTGTGAACATCTTCTTCTTCCCCAAAGATTTGGAAACAAAGTTATACTTTTCTATCATCATGATTAGGCTGTTGCAATTTTAATACAGAAGTCTGCAAATGAGCATATCTTCTCTGCTGCTGCATCTAATTTATGGAATGATTTACATATTCATATAACAGTATAATGTGCTGGTTGTAACTTGTTGAGTTTGACAACTTTACTGTTGTTGCGTCAAATTAAATTGCGCTACCATGTGTTACTCTTTTTTTTAGTGAAATAAATTAATAGCATTCAGTATACCATGCGCATTCTTATATCTGTTTTCATGTGATCATTTTTGTTCCACGTGGTTTTGTTAAAAGTTTATTATTGTGGAATAGGAACTAAAGGAATAGAGACATCATGAAACAACCAGGAGAGATTTCACTTGAAGAACAAAACACATTGAGGTGACAGAATTTTATATTTTTGTAGATTTTTCCAGAATATGAATTCTACACACTGAACATCTGAAAAATCTTGCTGATTTTTTGGAGTACAGGTACCTGATGGTTGATGGAGCAGACATTAAACACTCTAAATAAGATTTTAACAACGGTTTACAATGTAGGTGGTCTGATTTTAACTTACCTGTTGGTTCACAACTTTTTCTATCTGTCCCAACTTTGTAACCAGCTGCACAGTGACACACAGGTCGGTGTCTTTCCATCGTGCAGAAATGTGCACACCCACCATTGTTGATCGAACACTGTCTGGTCTTGTCTGTAAAAAATAAAATCAAGCGTTAAACTGTAAATTAACACATCAGAATGTCAGGTCTTAAAAGAAAACATCATTGCTTGCTGTTGCCACTTACCAATCTCACAGTTTTTACCGGTAAAGTCTGATTTGCACCAGCAGATATAGGAGCTTATTCCATCCTCACAATCTCCTCCATTCTGACATGGGTTTGGCTTACACTGGTCACCATCTATGCACAAGCAATAAAAACAAACACATTAGAAGGTCAGAGCTGATTTAACTTGTCAGTGTGGGAAGTTGACAAATATTTGACTTACCAGTGTGGAGGACCCAGAATTCCATCTAGAAGTGAAACATAAGTTAAAGAGAAGGTTTCAGTTTTTTCTTTCAATATTCAGAGGAGAAGGTTTGGTCATTCTGGTGCTTGCGTTCAACCTACAGTTTTTTCATCATCCTCGAACCACTCCCTGGCCTCCTCCATGGTGCATTGCTCCTCTTTACATTCTCGCTCCAGGTTGTCTTTCTGGAGCATTTCCTCCAGACGCCCACTGTTGAATCTCCGTTGTCGTTTCAGCACCACATGTGCCGTCTGCTGAGAGATAAACACGGCTTCTGAAAAAAAAACAAAAAAAAAAAACAGAGGGGGGAAAACCTGATCAACCCTGATCTCATTATTTCAATTGAACTCTTATCACAGTTTCAGCTTACAGTAAAATTGTCTGCTATATATTCTGATTAAAGTATCAGAAGTTTATTGAAATGATGATAAAAGACAACTTTAAACCAAATGTGAATAACATATTTGGTGATAAACTTTAACTAATCTCAATAAAATATTCAATAAAATTACATTTCACAATCAGAATAACAAAGTATTTTGATGAAAGTTTGCAGTAACTATCAAAAGAACAAAAATTATTTTTGTTTTTATTTTTTTTTTACTCATATCCAACTTTTCTATTCTGTATTTACTTTGTTATGCTTTCAGAGGTGACAATGAGAAAAAGAAACTCTGCTTAATGAGAACAGATTTTCTAGCTCCTTTGCTTTGTGAATCTTTGTCTGTTTTCTCCAATACAATCAAGTCCAAAAAGTTGCTGTTTACCTGTGTTGTCTCCTGTGATCTCAGCACTTGCTCCAGGAACCCCGAGTTGAAAACCAACAATGAAAACCAGCAGACAAACTCTGGCCATTTTACCGCTGTTAGTGATCTGGCTGATTATGACACACGAACTCAGTGCAGTTAGACTAACTCACCACTCCAAAGTACAGGGAACACTTTGTTTACACGCCTGTGTGGTCACAATCTGTGAGTGTTTGTTCTTTCACATTTGCTTAGATTTAGACATTAGAAAGGAAGTGTGAGGTAAAATAACATGCCTAATTATTCTGGAATTAAACTTACCAATCTCATGAGAAAGAGAGATTTATAGAAGCACTTAATGTGAAAGTGGAGATCATGTTGGCTTCAAGTCGAATATTGTCTAATATTGACAGTTCATGACGGTTGAAAATGTTTTGTGTGTGCATGTTTGTGCTCAACTATTTGTAATGTTGTTTTTGTTTTGAGCATCTTTACACATATATAAAAAGTACAACAAACTGTGAAAACTTTTAAGAGAAGGCTAAAAGGCCTTTGGAGGACAACCTGAACAAAATGCATAGTTTCATATATGGAGTGATGACATGTTGCCTGGGACCTGCGGTAAGCAGAAATAGACTGAGCGCTAATAAAAAAAAAAAAAAAAATCTCTTTCTAATTCAAATATGTTCAATAACATGCTGAATAGCAACATAGTAAGGGATAGGATATTCACCCAGCATGTTTACACACAATAATGTGTGAGTTTGATACATTAAAGCATGAAGCAGTGTACCTGGAGAACCAGGGTTGGAAAAAACCTAAGTTAAGCTAAAAGATGTGCTTTAGACTGTAAGAAGACTCAGACTGACCACCAGGTAATTAAAAAAACCAGCAGAAATGAGTAGAATTACAATCATGTTTGCGTCATTTTGTGTTTAATTAATAAGCTACTTGATAGGTAGCTCCCTGGAAAACAACTGTACCAACAAAAAAGAAGCAAAAGAAGATCTAAATAATATCAAATGAAAAGTATAAAAACATTATGAATCAAGAATACTGACAAGTTTGGACAACTTCTGATTTAAATCACTTTGAAAAATAAATGGAAAACTGTATAAAAAAAATAAAGGAAATACTATTTTCGCTCTGTGCTCATCATTATGGATTATTGTTTTTATTACTATCAGAGATACTGTGCACAAACCACTAATGCAAATGCAATCTAAATAATTGTTAGTAAAAGCACAATTTTTCTGCATTTTACTGGGTCCATAAATACCCAGTAAAATTTCAACTAAATTCACTGTTAAATTAAACTCAATAAAAAATAGAATTACAAAGCACTCACAGTACATACACAAACAATCATAAGCTCCACTAATGCATCTTTGTATCACAATCTAAGCAGCCAAATGTTGCTGTAAATCTGAGCAGGCAAATCAGCTTAGAGCCGTTTAAATACAGCAGGAAGGAAAGTCAAACTGCTGTTCACTCAGGGAGATTGAAGGGCAGCCGATCTCCAGGCTCAGAGATGACGACTGACAGCCGTCCGATTACAGTTTGAGTTACACGGGGCGCGGCTGTAGACAAATCACTGAATGTCAGGGGCTGGCAGCTCCTCAGCCACAGCGGCCTTGTTGTGATTTATTCCGTCATGTGGGATGAGGAAGGATTTTATCTGTTTATTACAACTCAGGACAGTTTATGGATTCATTAATCCTGCAAGCTGGAAACTTTTTAGGAAGATCAAGTGGACCCCTTTAAATTATTATTTAATGAGTCCCCTGAGATCAGATTATTTAGTCATGTCCACAACATCTCAGCTGTGGGGGAATGGACTGCTGACAACATATCAGATGTAAACACACCGACGGAGGCTGAAAAAAGTGGGTTAAAAGCTGAAAAATCACTGCAGTGATCCTAATCTCTTCCAGACTCGACACAATTTCATGAGCGCTGCGTCACTGCTGTCTCTCTTTACTTGTCAGATTCAATGAAACCCATAAGAATGTAGTTACATATTGTATTAAATGAGACAAGTGAAATTAAAATAAGATAGAAAAAAACTTGAGATAAACGTTTTTAGATTAAATATTTCTTCAAGAAAACTAAATCAAACACATTTTTTTGCCCACTGGTTTCATTCAACTGAACTTAAATAACTACAACTAACATTGACACCATTATACCACCACCAAATCCATTTTTTAAATGTTCTTTGTACCAAATTCTGCAGTAAATATCTTAGTGTTGAGCGTAACTCAAAACACACCAGACAACATCTTTACAAATTTTAATTTCCAACCCAACTACCAAAGTATCTTCTGATAGATGGAACAGGGAGCTGACTCATGATTACAGCTTCATGTAATCATAAAGATGGTCCAGGATTTTTAATCCACAGAAGGAGACTCTTGCAGAGGACCAGCTGCTCTGCTGGCAGACAGTTGGTTAGCATGAGTCAAATCCAGAGATGACTTGATGCATCAGTCTTGTTTTCACCACTCAGAGGGATTCATTTCAACAGTATGTAGACCTCACCAACAACAGCCTAATTACTTAACTGAGATGAATATTTATGTGTGTCAAGTTCTCTAAACGTCATGACACCATTATTTTAAATAATAGCAGTAGTTTTGATAAATGTTTTTCTCCACTCATTACATATTGAAATGCATATTTGCACCAAATGTAATCAATATCACAAAATTTCTTCTATAATTGATGCCAATGGTAATAAATACCTATTTCAAAACACGATAGGTTTGTCATTGTTTGTCTTTCTTTTTTGATGCAGTAATTTTGACAAACTGTATTAAAGTGTTAATTGCTGCAATCTATGTTTTGTATTTTATTCGCATCAAAATCTGCCAAAAATATGTACACTGGCGACAATAAGCTGCAAGACCACTGAACAGCTGAGAAAATGAAAGTGTTGACATTTTCAATTTCTGGATACAAACCAAAGTCATAATCTTTTGGTTGCTGTTAGAAAATACTGATGTGAGTTAGACCAAAACAGTCAATTTTATTTATTTTTATTTTTTTTCTGAGCAAAATTCTTTGGTCTAGATCACAAATTTGCATAAATGCACAATAATCATGTTTTTACTGGATAGGTTTGAGTCAACGGAGCGACAGGCAGAAAAATGCACTCAATCATTTATTCTTAATTTTGTCCCAAATCTAAAATAATGCATGTGCATGTTTAAAATATTATTGCATTAATCTGACAAAACATCAGTTCTGAAAATTGGCCTTGAAAGATAAGTTAAATATGTGAAGTAATAATATTCTTAAAATTATTCTACAGATAGTTTTTAATGTGTGCATGTACACAGGGACTAACAAGCATGGCTGATGTTCAGCACTGAAAATCCAGGTTTAGCAGATACATTTATGTTCTTGTGTTTTGCTTTGTGAAAGAGTTGAGAAATTTCCAGCACAAATTGGTTTCAATAATCGATTAACTAATTAATTTGCATTCGGTTTGTTGAATTTGCAATTAGATCTGCATTAATTGGACAACCTCACAGATACAGGGGTTTTCCTCTCGCGCTGCCACCAATGTCCTCAAGAAAGAGACTGGAGGAGGAAAAACTATGTTATTATTTAATGCTGTTGTGAACTTCATTCACATTTTGCACTAAGATCACATTCACTAGTCTGAGTTCACACAGGTATAACAGCTGTTGAACAATTTGCAGGTTTTCTTAATTTTAATGGTTTTAATAAAGTTATTTAAATTCTGAATATTTAACAGGTATGAGATACTTATAGTAAGATTCAAATACTTACTTATCTAAGAAAATCAAAATAAACTCACACCTACACATTAAAAAGAAGACAAAAAAGAATGTGTGATCTGTGTGGGTCATAAAACGTCACTGAAATAGTGATACATTCTAAATCTTTACTGGTGGAATAATGTAAATATTTTTCCTAACACAGCTAAGATTTGCTCCACATCATAACAGTCACCTTAAGCACTTTTCAACATCTTCAGTCAAGTTTTAATCAAAATTATCTGGTGGGATTCTGTTCCCAATAACATATGTTGTTTGAATTAATCAGACCATTGCAAATTAATGATTTTTAATAAAGTCTATGGTTAACATTCACTACAGTGTGAAATGTATGTTTTACAGTGCACATGTGGAGCTAATTTTTGAAAATGGACATTGGATTGGTTGAGTTTTAGCGTGGTGTACAATTATATTAATTATAACACAAAGAAATTATGTGAACTTTCACTAAGCAATAAACGGATAGAAAGGTCAGTAATTGTGGCACAATAACCTTTTCCCCTCGGTGAATGAGCTGCATATTAGAAACAGCAACAGAACCATGAATTGCACCTGCATCCCGGTACAGTTTCCCGGTCTTGTCATCTTTCTTTGTCCCTCTCCGCGTGTGCGCGTGCAGATTGAGAGCTCGCGCATGTTGGTTGGTGTGTCTGCAGCCACGTGGTGACGTCCAGAGAGGAGCCTGTCTGAGGGGACGCAGCCGGAGAGGGGACAGCAGGGACGGGGGAGGACAGGAGGAGTTGGGTATTTTCAGCCGAGGGATTCAAAGAACATAAAGAAGTAAAAGCGCGTTGCTTTTCTCCGAAGTTTTACTCTGCGAGCAGAAAAAGTGGAGCTCCATGAGCGGAAAATCGAAAGTTAAGGAGGATAACGCCAACAAAGGTGAGTGGTAAATTAGTGTGCATTATTTGGAGAAGAAGGGATCATGAGATAATGCTTTTGCAGAGTGCTGAGCTCAGCATAATGCTCATTTCTTTGTTCTACCATCTACAACAATGTGCAAGTACTTGAGACTAAATTGGTAAAAACCTTCTTGAAAGTTTTATTGCTAAATGACACAAATATTGAATCATGACATATTTTTGGTTTCTGTGTATTCTGTAAGGTTATGATGGATTAATTTTCAGTACAAATATGACGGTGGGACGCATATTTCCAAAATTGACTACATCATTGAGGAAGAAATATTCTCTATAGATTATCTCCTGTAAAATGAAATGCTGCCTCATTATCATAGTGAACACACCTTCAGTCATTCACCAGAAACATGGACGCGGGATCCACCCGCAGTGGAAACTGGGAAGCCATCATCTCCATGGAAACAAAAGGGAGTTTCCAGCAGCACGAGCTTCT